GGAGTGCTCGGCACCTCTTCCCCAGCGTCTCCACCACCATGGATGACCAAGTGCAGGACGACGAAGGTGCTGGTGAAGCCGCCAGCTTCCCCCATGCTCGGACTGCTCCAGTCCCAAGCCACCTTCTCGTCGAACATGACGTCGTGCGAGACAAGCACCTTGTCTCCACGTGGGTCGTAGAACCGGTACGCCTTGGTACCCTCCGCGTATCCCAGGAACACCATCGGTGTGCTCCTGTCCTCTAGCTTGGTGAGGTTCGGCTTCATCTTCCTGACGTGGCCGATGCAGCCGAATGTCCGGAGGAAGGACACCCTCGGCTTGCGCCCATACCAAGCTTCAAACGGCGTCTTGCCCGTTAGGGCCTTGGTCGGAGCACGGTTGAGGATGAACACTACCGTGGTCACTACCTCACCCTAGAACCTTGCCGGCATGCCTTTGGCCTTCATCATGGATCAAGCCATGCCGACCACCGTTTGGTTTCGCCTCTCCACCACGCCATTCTGTTGTGGCAGGTACGGCGTGGTGTAGTGTCGCACCACACCCTGATCCGCACAGTACGCAGTGAACTCTACCGAAGTGAATTCGCCACCGTGATCAGTCCTTAGCACGCGGAGCTTCTTGCCGCTCTCGGCCTCCACGCGCATCTTGAACTTCTTGACCACCACCGTCGCTTTGTCTTTGCTCATCAGGAGTTGCAGCCACATGTAGCGACTACAATCATCCAAGAGTAGGAGGAAGTACCGCTGACCACCGTTTGTAGCTGGCGTGATCGGCCCACAGAGGTCACCGTGGATGAGCTCGAGAGCGTCCTTCACACGATACTTGGCCGCCTTTGGGAATGGTAGCCTCCTATGCTTCCTGGCCAGGCAGTTGTCACACAGCTTGCCTCCGTGCTTGATGTGGGGTAGCCCTCGGACCATCTTCTCCAGCCAACCAAGCGCGTCGAAGCTGAGATGTCTGAACCGGGCATGCCACATCCACGGTTCCTCGGTGTGCCTTGTCACCAGGCACACCGGCTGCTCTACCTTCAGGTCGAGCAGGTACAACCGGTTTAGGGACCTCTTCACCTTGGCAAGAAGTCGTTGCTCCCAGTCCCTAATCCTAAGGACTCCGTCCTTGATCAGTACCTCGCTACCACGCTCATCCAGCTGACTAATGCTGATGATGCTGGAACGCAGCTGCGGGATGTAATATACATCTATTAGCGTGCGGTGCTCCCCATTTTGGCACTTGAAGATGATGGTGTCGTGCCCTTGGATAGCCACCCTTGAGCCGTCACCAAACTTCACCGTACCGGTAACATCGTCGTCGAGCTCGCAGAAGGATGGCTTGAAGCCCGTCATGTGGTTGCTGGCACCATAGTCTAGATACCACCGCTGCTCCTGGTCGGCGCCCACATGTCCGAGGTGGACTTGGGCATGTGGTTCGTCAAGGTTGACAGTCTTCAAGGCCTTCCCAGGTCCATCCACCGTCGTCGCCTCTTCCTTCTCCTCGGCCTCGACGTCGTGCAGTGCACAGAACGTCGCCATCAGGATAGTGGTCTCATCCTCATCATCAGCTTGTGCTAGATGAGCCTGAGCCTTCTTCTCTTGCTTGCGATTTGGGCACTCCCGTGCCCAATGGCCTATCTTCCCGCAGCGCCGACCGGTGTTGGGGTCGACCTACTTCTTCTTCTTCGAAGAAGCCTTGCCGCAGCGCTTGCCATCGCCACTGCGGCTGGAGGAGGCTGCCTTCCCGGAGTTCCTCCGAGCAGCCCACTCCTCTTCTATCAGCAGCAGTTTGCCGCTGTCCTTCATTGCTGTCGCCTGCTCCAGGCGCTCGTCCACCGCCCACAGACGGCCTGTCACATCCTCAATGGTGAGGGTGGACAAGTCCAGCATCGTCTCTATGGAGAGAGCGATCTGGATGCACTTTGCTAGTACGAAGTGGAGGTACTTGGAGACCGCCTCCTCTTTGTCGATGGTGACGCCATAGCTCTTTAGCTTGCTGATGAGCGTCTGCAGGCGGAGAAAGAAGTCCTCCACAGTTTCACCATCCTTGAACTTGAGGTTGGCGTACTCCTGCTTCAGAAGCTAGGCCATCGCCTTCTTTGCGCGGTCGGAACTGACACGCATCGCCGCAATAGCCTCTCACGCCTCCTTAGCCGAGCTCTTCGCCCCCTCCGGTACAGCAGCGAGGATAGCCTCTAACGCTGACATGTCATCTTCCTCATTGTCGGTGCCCTTGTCAACAGCATTCCAGAGCCGTCGGGCTCTGAGCTTGACCTTCATGGTCACCGACCACTCTCCATAGTTGGTGCGAGTCAGCGTCGGCCAACTGATGCCACTAACCTCCCGCACCGTGCAAACAACGACCTCCGGTCGTGGCTGGGCAGCCACAGCAGTGCCACTGCTGTCGCCCATCTCTGAACCGCCCGTCATCGCCAGCGGTTAGTTTGGCGACGGCGCTTGTATGGCTACGATACCACTTGTTAGCCCACAGGATCACCGGCTCAGGTGAGTCGACCACTCACCAGTCTTGCCGAGCACGACCGAGGCTGTCCGACCACACACACAATGGCTCGAGGTAGAAGAAAAGGGAGAACAGAGCATACACACACGGTACAAGCACCAGCGTTGGCTAGAGCCCTGTCTAGGAGATGGCAGAACTGAACTCTCTTTACTGAGTTGCCGTGGTAATCTATTTATACAACTCTATCCATATAGTCCTAGTACAGCACACATGCTGCAACAGTGACTAGATAACACAGCAGGACTGACTTCTGCGTCTGTCCCTGCATGTTGCTACAATGCGGCAAGTGACCCGTTCATTGCCTACCTCTGCAGCGGCTACAGTAGTACAGTAGAGAGCCTTTTCGACGCTGTCTTTCTCTTGTTGTGTGTTCACACAAGGAATCAGTAGATTATTCTAACATGCTCCTCTAATATACGCATCTTCTTTTTTTTGTGTGTATGGTTTTCAGTTCACCAGTAGTAGGGCTGCGGACAAGTAGCTTGTAGTTTGCCAAGCAGGAGCGGCTTCCATATTGTTCAGTGTATCTCTAAAGGTTTGTTTGGTTAATCTCCAATCTGATGGGATTAAGGGGATTTTTATCCTCTACATGTAAAAATCTCCCTCAATCCCTTTGGACTAGGGATTAACCGAACAAGCCCTGAGGTAGCTTCAGTTTTGCCTTGCGTGATCTAAAGTCTTAGATGACACCAGCAGCTTCCTGAGGTAGCTTCAGTTTTGCCTTGCTTGATCTGAAGTCTTAGGCTAACTCCAACAAGATGACCCAAACCTGAGACCTATTTTACCGTATAGGTGATGCACAGTAAAAGAAGTTGGATACCCATAACTCGACCTCTCCAACAGAGCAGCAAGCCCCAAATCCACGCGCGAAGGCAAGCCGCCTGTCGCGCCGAGGTGGAGGAGACCGTCGCGCCGGGGAGTCTCGCGGTGGCGGGGAGGCAGGACGCCATGCCGGGGCGGGCTCGGCGCGCCAGGGCTGGGCGGCTTCTGGGGCCAGCTCGCCTCACCGGCCAGGGTGAGCGGCGGCGGGGCCCAGATCCGCGCACCCCCGCCTCCTCCTCGCCGCACCGGAGCAGGGCAACGCGCGAAGGTGGTGGTGGACCGCCGCGCCGAGGTGGAGGCGGGCCGCGCGCCGGGGCAGGGCTCGTCGCGCCGGAGCAAGCTTGCCGCGCGCGCCGGCGGGGAGGTGGGCCGCAGCGCGGGGCAGGGCTCGCCGCTCACTCCGGCGGGGAAGCTCGCCGCGCCGGGGGAAGCACGCGGTAGGGCGCTCCCTCGAGCAGCCTTGCTCCTAGACGAGGGTCCTCGGGCCCACCACTATAGGTTTGCGTCGGCTCTCTTCGAGGACGCAGATTTGCCTTCCAACTCGTCGAGGACGCAGAATGCGTAGCTGATTTCGGTGTGCCGTTGGAGGAGTGTTTTGAGGACCCAAAACACTGTGCGTGCCGTATTTTTGCGTTTACGTCACGCCGTTGGAGACAGTCTTAGATGACACCAGCAGCTTTAGCAGTTCAATTTTCTTGTTTACATATCAGTGAGTGAACAGTGAACGGGAAGGAGTATTAGTGCAGCTTTGTTCAGCTCCTGGTAAAAGGACAAGGAGTACTTCGGCGCTTCCTACTAGTGTGATTGGTACTAGTAACTGATTATTATTTCCTCTAGATTGAGATGGGAACTCAATATTAGAGTGAAAACGAGTAAACCTAAAAATTTTCGTGCATCAACTGTTACGATTAAACGACCAACGATGTGAGAGAGCGGGGACGCCATCCCAGATCTCCGTCACCACCACTCCCCAAGGCCATTGCACTCCGCCCCAACCTCAACCAGCACTGCTACCCTTCCGTGCAGTCCGAGTCTTCCGAGCGCCCCGCTTCGTGCGGATCTGCTGCACCACACTTCTTGTTGTATATGATATATAAAATGCCTGACCCATATTGACCGCAAATCATTAGTGTACAGGCCTTGCTCATTTCTACCCCAAACCAAGGGGGGTAGAGGGGATTGAGGATTTAATCCCCTACAAGTCAAAATCCCTCTCAATCCTCTCTAACCCTCTCCAACCCCCTTGGTTTGATGTAGAAACAAACAAGGCCTCGTACTGTCTAGTATGACAGATACTAGATTATACAAGGAAATAAATAAACATGAAACTCATACATCCAGTATCCATCATCCATACTAAATAGGAAGGTAGGTAGATTAACAGCAGAATAAACAATCTCGCATGTCGTCCGATGGGGAAACACTGCGCTACCGAGTGTAACTTCACTCGCTTAACCTAGCTACAAAACCACGAGCGAGCCACAAAACTTGCCCAGACGAGTTGCACAGGCACAACAGCTGAAATAAAGTAGCACCTGGAAAGGCCTACGGGATAATTCCGGTCCGGGGTCGGAGCTTCATAGAAGAGCACAGAGCAAACGCTAACAGATAACTAAGCACGCCATTGCTAGCTTCAGCACACCCATTTGGCACGTCGCATTTCTTGTCTAGTAGTAGCCTCCTCGGCCGCCGCGCGGTGGCCCACGCCCACCACGCCCGCGCCAAGGCATCCCCCTTCTTCCTCTGCCACGCCCTGTAAAACAGCAGACCACAAACCATAAGTTGGGAATGCAAAGCAAAATCCACATCAACATGTAATGTCATCAGTCTGGGGCTTACCACGGCCAGGGGGAGGGGCATATTCTTCGGGCTCATCATAGTATTCATCTTGCTCTTCATAGTACCCGCCTCTTGGGCCATAGCCATAATCATAACCGTAGCCACCACGGCCTCTCCCACCTCCATAGTAGCCACCACGGCCTCTCCCTCCACGTCCACGTGACCTTCCTCTCCCACGCCCTCTGTTGTAATAATCTCCTTCCTCCACCCACTCATCATTGTAACCATAAGCAGGTGGTGGGGGGCCATTGCTCATACCTGTGCATATTCAAATGCAAGAATTAATAAAAATACATTCCTTTTTCAAACACTACTGATTTCAGGAAATAAAGTATATGTGCTGACTTAAGTTATAGATATCCCAAACTGAAACCTGGACAGCAGCTGCAGTTGATTAGTTTTACATGTTGTGCATGCCTAAAACAGCTATTATGATATTGAGCATAAAAGCAGGCGTAAGTACCAAGTACAGGACTGAGTGTAGCGTGACCATAACTCAACAAATCAGCATTATAAAATTATAAGATACTGTCCAGAAAACTATGACTATTGCCTTTGCTGCTCATATAGACGATAAGAGAACATACCTCTTCCCCTGCCTCTTCTCCCACCACCACGTCCTCTTTCACGACCAGTGGGATACGATTCTAAAAAACCATGAACAAAATGGTGATTATGAGGTGATCCTAACTACAGCATTAGGTAGAGAAGATCAACTGAGAATATCACCTTCATGATCATAGTCAAAAGCAGGTTTCACCTCTTCAGCTGGGATAGGTGGTTGGTATCTAAGTACAATATCATATCAAACATAACCAATAATGAGCAGGCAAGCTGACAGAAAGTTTCAAAACTATGAACAGCCATTTACAAATTAGGGAAGGAAAAGTGATCAAGCCTGAAACTCTTCTGTGTTTGTAGCCAGAGGACAGGTTTCCGACTTACCCTGGAGATGATGTATCCAGAGGCTTCTTTGACAATGTCACAGTGATCATCGACACATGGCGAGTTGTCTCTAGTCTGTGTAAAGAAGTGTGTTAGTGTTTCAATCTCCTTCTGTTTGAAGGAATATAAGAATATCCTTACGGGAGAAGGCCTTCTTCCAAAGGTTCCCATGTGTCTGTGATATCAACAGATTCAGTAGCATTGTTCTGATGAAGACCTCCAACCCTTCTCTGGATGAACAGTCAAGTGCCAGATAAAAAAATGAGACACTAATAAAAATTCCAATAGCAGCATTTTAAGGCAGAAGAGGCTACTACTACCAACCTTGATCAATTCAACAACCATAACTGTCTTATTTATGGCCCGTCCCATGGCCTTGATACTAATCTCATCATGTCCATTTTCCTGTAAAAGTGGAAGGGAACAAGTTCATAATAAGAAAAAGTTGGATCAGGTATCAATTCAACTGTGGTAAGATTACTGCACAAAGAGAAGTGGCAAAGGTAGTGTGGCATCATTGGCCTATAACCATTAAAAGAATGGTCAGAAGAGGATGCTATATATACTGAAGAAACAACAAGTGCAAATAATAAAGGCAGAAATTTCTAAATGCTCTGAACTATATGTGAATTTGTGTACTTTGTATCAAACCAATAAGCTTCATAGCAGCTGAAACAACAAATTCTGAACACAACGCAAGGATCGCTAAACAGTCACCAGGAAGGGGCGAAGGGCTAAGAATTCTTATGTATAAGAATGGAAACTGGACAGGAACTATCATAGAAGAAAAATATCAGACTGAAAATCCAAAGGTGTCTCTGATTAAGATGTGCATTCGATGTGTGAACATTGAACAAAATGAGGATGTTAGATGGAAGATTTAATGGAGTAAACTTACCATTTGACAAATTGTATATATTTTGAATGTTAAAATGAAGCAGGTGCGCAATTTTCCGAAGAACAATGAACAAGATGAAGAAATAACACGAGCACATGGCATCAGCACTATTATTTCTTAAATAATGTGAGCTTCACATAATTCAAGTGAAAAGGTCTAATCAGAAATAGTGCAATGAAAAGAGCACTAGGACATTAGGACATAAGAGCAAAGAACTTGTGAAGGGAGACGAAAGTATTGGCAATGCAACAAACCGTGTACTATACCACAACAAACAAAATAGCAGGCTTTCCATTCGATAGGTGTCTCTGTTTAAGTCGTGCATTGATGTGTGAACAAAATGAGAATGTTAAATGAAGGCATTTAAAGCCCAAAAAAATTATCATTTGACTAATGTACATTGTAACAATAAACAATATAGACAAGCAGATGAGAGATTTAATGGTTTATTACAATCATAAAAAGAAAAGGCTACTGACAAATAAAAGCACATACATGCACAAACCAAAACAAACTGTTGCCCCTAACACTATCCCAACTCCACATAATTTCAGATTGCAAACACTTACCAGAAATAGTTAAATATGACAAACAATAAGGGCGTTCCCAGTGCAGAGAGCTCCCGCTCTGTGCGGGGTCTGGGGAAGGGTGTCAGTGGCAAGCCTTACCCTCGCCTGTGCAATGCGAGGAGACCACGACTCGAACCCGGGACCTTCCGGTCACAGGAGGTAAGACTCTACCGCTTACACCAGGCCCGCCCTTCATATGACAAACAATATGAATGCTTACTTTTATGACAGGTAACAACAAAGCCAAGATTGAATCACAGCACGTCACCTCAAGCAGTGACATCCCATAGCTGATGTAGTTCCTCATCCTCCCCTGAGTAGTGATCCTGATCTCATTCTGGCTGATTGGTGTGCCATTCCGAGGCTTCTCTACCCTGTGGTATCTATCCATGCCTATAAATTGACAAAAATCTCAGTACACTATATTCAATGGACCATCAACAGGTAAATTTCAGAAGAGAGTACCCTAAACCATGCAGAAATAATACAGGCAAAAACTCATCATATCAAAAACAACAGGGGCTTAAAAAAGGCCATGAAATCTAAGCCATACGTAAGAACAAGTTAAAGATGAAAAGTACAGACACTGCTCAAAGTAACATTTCTGTCTCTTTGAAGAACAAAGAGTGAAGAGAAGAAAGATATAAAAATGCAGCAAATTGTACCTACAGTACAGGCACCAAGGCAAACAAGATTTAGACTTTTCCTGGAACCCATAATGCATATCTAAACTACGACAGACTCAATAAGAGCTGATTGCATTTAGTAGGACGGCAGATGAAGGAAAAGGGCAAATCCTGTTTAAATACTAAAAGTACATATTGACACTACAACAGCCTCTTCTGATGTCTTTAAACCAGAACATCTCTAACCTAAACAGGTGAAGACAAATCTAAACAAACAATAAACAGAAGCAAGCCATACTGGTCTGGTGAAACCGTGAAATCATTCAAAGGGTAAACCATGAATCAGCATCAATCCGAAAAACCCACATCCACAATTCACAAGAGATAAAGCCTTGATTTTAATGTAAGATAATAATCGGTGTTCATTTTAATTGTTTAAATACTAACAGTACGCTATCTCAAGGCTCGAATCGGTGTTCATTTTTTTGGTAGATAAAGCCTTGATTTTAATGTAAGATAATACTCTGAAACAGTAAAGTCTATTTTGACTGCCAAATGTTCCAGACTAACGGTGGAAACTGAGGGCAACACATATGCTACCCAAACAGACGTGGTAGACCAATTGTTTGAGCACCACATCAGATAAGTTGCAAAGCCCTTACCATAATGCTGCCTGAGACAGGTACAAGTATCGAGAACCCCACACCAATGGGAAATGAACCAAGGAAATATTAAGGAATGATATATATACAAGGATACATGTTCCCCAAGTCTTAAGCACCAAGTACACAGCTTGACACATGTATCAAACAGTGCGGTGTAAAACAGAGTGAAATGAACCCAGACCCTGGCAAACTTCCAATTGTATCCTACCCTCCTCCACCCACTGACCCACCCCACCAAAAAATGGGGCAGGTAAATCACAATAGATAAACACACGATTTGGATACCAAAATCGATCCTCTGCAGCGACGCGCGCACCTAGAACGACACATCAATCACAGCAGAACCAGAACCGCTGCCGGCCGCGGCCCCTAAAACCCCCCGAATCCCTTTGGGAAAAGGGGTAGAGACCGCTCCCGTGACAACGACGCCGCGAATGGGAGCGGAGGGAGGAAGGCGCCCGGAGGCGACGACCGAACCCGTGTCCCGACCCCGCGCCCCACAGCCCGGTCAACCCCCGCGCCTTCCCCGACCTCGGAGCCTCCACCCGCCAAGCGTACCAGCGCCCCGCCGCGCAAAGCCGGCCGTCCCCCGAATCCCACGAACCCGCGCCGAATCGAGACGGGGCAGAGGAGGGGGAAAGAGAGGGGAGTGGAACCAGGGGAGGGAAAAAAATCTCACCTCGCGTGCTCCGCCCTCGGCCGCTGCGGCTGCCGCTCCCCCGTGCTCCTCTTCTGACTGGCTGGTTGGCTTGGCTGGCTCTGCGGCGCTGCGAGAGGGAGAGGTGGGGGCGTGGGGCGGTTTCAGGAGGGCTTGCTGCGCCTGCGCTGCGTGCGCCCGCGTCGTCCTCGTCCTCGCACACTGGGCCGGGCCGCGTGGCGTGCTGGCGTGGGGAGACGGTTCGGGGTTATCCTCCGGCACCTGCCGGGACCCGGCGCACAGGGGGTGTCCGTTGCGCGGATGCGCCGTGCCCGTGGGCGCTGGATCGCGGGATCGTTCGTAGACCGGGTGCGGGAAGCGGGTAGGATAAGGGCGCCTTCGCTCTCGCTGTGAGGCTTTGGAGATAAGGGGAGGGGCTGTACTTCGCTGGCAGGTGGGACCGGGCGAGCCGTGCCGTGTTAACTGTACCTGGCGACTGGCGTGTGTAGTGTAGGTTGCTTGGCCGGGCCCCTAGTTTGTTTGACCCAAAGACAAGCTGAGGCTGGCGCTGGCCCCTAGTTTTTTTTTCTGAAATGGTTTTGTATCCTGCTTTTATAATCCAATTTTAAAACCATATCTACTATGCTAATTAGTTGTAGACTAATATATATATCTTATAAATACTTCAATTTTTTGGTTGATTGATAGATGTAAATTATGCATTATATTTTTAAAGAAATTATGAAATTAATGATATAATTGAAATGATTCATATTATGACTGCTTACTTATTATTTAGAAGTAAAGTAGGCTAGCTGAAAGGTCTTTATTTGGTTTTGATAATTGAGTGATAATCTAGGTGAACTAATATGTGTTTAAGTGAAATACATAGGTGATTAGTTCACAGGAACACTTGTGTGAGCAACACATGCCACGGAGGTAAAATGGTTTGGATATATTGCAAGGCTCACACATGTGATGAAGGAGCTCATTGTTGTATATGAGACATGACATGAAGTCATGTGACTAAGGGGGAGAAGATCAACATAAGACTTGGCTTGATAGACTGGTTGCAAGCGTGAAGGGCAAGTTGGAGGCTTTGGAGCGATGGACCGCGTGGCGGTGAAGCTTGAGCAAGACTTGACGTCGATGGACGAAGGTAACGGTGAAAAGCAAGTGAGGTCAAGATCGATGAACTAACAAGATCACGTGATGATATGAAGTGGATCATATCATTTGTGATTGGTTGGTGCATGTGTTGCATCAACACCGAAGGAGATGGAATGGAATGCGCAAGGCAAAGGTATATTTGTAGGGCATTTCATTTCACCGATCATAGGTGTGTATAGAAGTTTATAACCGAGTTTAGAATAGATAGTCGTACTATCAAGAGGGACAAACTTATTTACATATCGGTCATCTAGTGTCACTTGAGTGATCTAACTTTGCATCGTTGCTAGGATCGAGTGGCGTGGTGAAATGAGTGACTAATCCTTTGAAAAATGTTTTATGAAAATGCTAACACACATTCATATGGTGGTGTATACTTGATGGTATTGGCACATTTGCAAAGGAGATAAAAATGAAGAAGAAAAGTGTGCTAAAATGAATGGAGGAGAGCACACATGCATTGCAAAAGAGAGAGAGGGAGCCTTGTGTGCACTCAGCTTCTATATCATTGCATGCACTTTGAGGAGGATAAAAATAGACAAGCACTGCATGCACTCTAAGCCAAAGAGAGGGAACGTGTGGCTGCATGCTTGCTTTGTTGACCAAGTGAAAGAAGGCACCGCGTGAAGTGAAAGAAACTAGTGGTCGTGGTGACCGGGCGCGTCCGGTCAAGTGACACGAGGCGAAGGCAGCTGGCTGCATGCGACCAGACGCTGGCTCGGCTAGGCGACCGGACACGCGCCAACACTATTCACGGGATGGCACAGAGTGCTCGTGGCGAGCGGACGCGGTGGTGTGTTCGGTCGTGTATGACCCGACGCGTCCGATCCCATTTTGGCGTCTCTGGAAGCTTAGTGGATGCGACTGGATGCTGTGGCTTGGTGAGTCCGGTCATGCGACCTGTGCGTCCAATCAGTTGGTGGCATGCGCGCGCGAAGAGAGCCTTGGGTAGCAACGGCTATTTTTAAACGGTTGTGACACGTGGCGGCATTGGAGCGACCAAACGCATGCGACCGGACGTGTCCGGTCTCTGCGCATGTGCGTCCGGTCGATGCGCAGAAAAAGCTAACGGCTATATCTGGCCTTTGGGATATAAATAGAGGGGTGTCTCGGCCATGGCTAAGGTTGAGCACCTTGGGGGACTTTGTGTCCATACTTGAGAGTGCTTGGGAGCCCTCTAACTCACTAGTGCTTGCAAGAGTGCGAATCCATTGCGAGTGAGTGATTCTAGTACGATTGCATTGAGAGATTGCATCGAGTGGCACTGGGTGATCGAGTTGCAAGCCGATGGTGCTTGTTACTCTTGGAGGTTGCCACCTCCTAGACGGCTTGGTGGTAGTCTCCGTCGAAGCGCACAAAGAAGATTGTGCGGTGCTCCGGAGAAGTGATTGTGAGGAGGATTATGCTCACCCCGCGGGAGCCACGAAGAGCAACTCTAGTAGAGCGAGACGCGAAGGGAAACAAGTGGTCCAGTCGGGTCAAGTGCTAAAGCTTGTGGTAAGCACTCCACGTGGGAGAGTGTGACTTGCAGGTCACCACTAGGAAGAGGACCGGCGGCAACCTTGGAGCTTGTCTCAACGGGGACTAGCGTGTTGGCTAGCACGTGAACCTTAGAATAAAAATCACCGTGTCATTCTTGTCTTCCCGTTGGTTTGCATCCCCTTTACACAAAGCTTGTATTTACTTTAATATATATTGTTCTTGTGTAGTTGCTCTTGTAATTAGTTTGCTTGTGTAGCTTGCTAGTTACCTTATTGCTTGTGTAGCATACAAGTAGCTCCCTTGCGTGACTAATTCGGTTTGAGTAACCTTGTTAGTCACATTGCTTAGTTTATGTAGTTAAGTAATTTGTACTCTCTAATTTGACATTAGTTGTCTTGTTATTGAGCATTGCTAGTGAGCTTAGGCTTTGTGCTTTTGCATACTAGTTGTGTAGGAGCTCTCCCGTGCTTGAAGTACTAGTTGCATAGGTTTGTGTGACCTTACTTATAGAATCGGTTAGGTGAGCTCTAACTAGCCCGGCACCTTAGTTGCTTAATTAATATCTTTGTAAGGTGCTATAGAACTTAGATAAAGGGGTGTAGTCTTGACTAGACCGTTAGTTTTAATTCCGCATTTATTTTGGTTAGTCGGTATGATTAATTTTAGAAAGGACTACTCACCCCCTCTAGTTCGTCATCTCGATCCTACACTAGCGGTCCATAAATTTATTGAGCTGTGTCAACCCGGTCTATAAACTACCAAATCACACGCTTAGCTACCTAAACATTGTTTGGGTTTCACTTTAGTCCTATCGGGTTACAATCTGTGGCCCAATGACAATGTCATATCTGGGAGGTCCACCCCAATCCCGAATCGTTGTCCACCGCCACTTTTCTTTTGTTGCTGTCATCGAACACTCCCTCCCCGTCTAGCTCCATCGTTTGTGCCCTCCCTATCGAGGTCCACCGCACACGCCCTCGCCGCTAACGCACCCTCCCATCTAGCCACGCCACAGCGCTTGGCTCGTCCTCCACGGTAGCTCTTTGCGCTCTCTATCTAGATCTAGCAATCTTACTCCTTGAAGGTGTCATTCTAATTTCCAATCCTTCCTGAACAATTTTGCCAAAGCTGGTAATACTCATCTTGTCATTGGCTGTGAAATAGTCCATGTACTTGTCTGGCAGCCATCTAGAAGTGCATCTCTAAATTCAACACCCACTCCTTCTTACAGTATGTCTTCACGAGAAATGATTTAACCATGTTGTCCAATGATGCATATAGATTCCAGGGGCATCCTTTAGCACAATGAGCCCTCAATCTTCTCTTGTCATTCCTAGGTAGTTTGATTTCTACTCTATTTCTCAGACTATACTCTGCTATTGCCTCTCTAAGCTTCTCAACTGATGGGAAAACAAGCCCAACAAAGGATGTTGGGTTGCTCATGTCCTCTGGATTTCATGAATTGAACCTCAGCCTCTATTCTTCTTTCCCCATCTGATTGTGTCAGTTCTAGTCCCTCATCCTCGGTGTTAGTTTCTTCATGAACTTGAGGCGGTTTACTGATCACAGTAGCCTTCACCTAGCTACCTTTTGCCTTTTTGTTGCCTTTGACCTGTTTGGCCTCCAAATGAATAGCATCCTCCATGAGATCATCATCTCAACCACATATTTCATTGTCACTATCTATAAACTCATGAACTTTAGATCCATTGTCTGCTTCATGATCAGGTTCCTGGCTTGGTCTAGCTTGATCAACTCTTACTTTCTTTAGATTAGTATAGAACATACATAACTTGTCTCATGTCTTCTTTTCAGCAAACAACTTTATGGTGGCTCAATAACTTAGGAAATTCATTCATTGGATTGGCAACAATGTCGTCCTAGTCAACACTTACCAAATTGTCATCATGATCAACATACACAACTAGATTATTCACCTTTCAACCACACCGACCATCAGATTTGTATCATCATCATCTGATGCAATCACCATCAATCCATCAGCAATATTTTTCCTTGGCACAACCAATAGATTGATGTTTCTGTTGTTCTCATATCCTAGTTGCTAAAGGAAATCCTCAAACCACAAAGCAAACTACTTCTCAGACTCGATCCAGTCGAACCAGTCAATTTTCTCATCCACATACGACCTGAGATGACCAAATCCATCAACAGCAGAACCTACATTACCAGTGCACCTTGATCAGTTTATCACTCAAATTCAAACCCTATCAATGACACCCAAAACCACAATCAATAGACCAAGAACAGTCCTTCTTATCTACCCTTACCACTACAACTCCAAAAATCAATATCCATAACCCAGAAATTGAAAAGCAGAGGGGATGTTTAACTCACTGTATGTCTGCGGCGCCTCCACTTCCCCTCGCAGCATCGACACCATCCTCACCTATAGGTTGTGACTTGCTCTAGTACGTGTGTGGCTTTGTCCTGGCCTCCTTTTTCTCCTCGATTTGGCAACCTCCTTCTACCACCGATCCCTGCTAGAGCCAATCTTGTCGCCATCGTCGAGATGAAACAAAATAGCATGTGATGAAACATGGAAGAGCTGGTTTCCACTTTGCAAATACTCATCTAAGGGGGCTTTTGGCAACAACATAAGAGCTCAAATATTGAACCGTCATTATGGACCACGTGTCCAGATCTGATAGGATTAATGCGAAACCCAAACAATGTTCAGGTAGCTAAACATGCGGTTTGATAGTTTAGGGACCGAAACAAATTTGGTTTAAGAATCGGACCAGATAGCTAAACGTGCAATTTGATAGTATAGGGATCGAACCGTTAGCATACTTTACTCTATAATTTCTATATATACTCATACTTTGATCCCCAATTTGTATATAAACCGTAAAGCAATCTAACAACTAGGCCATCTAATCGACAAATCGTCTAGAAATGTCACAATGTAGATCCGAATTTGAACTATCCAAGTCCACGCAAAATAAAGAATAACTCAATTTTATATGGTATTTTGTTTTTGTTACTACCCGCAGCCCCGTGGCCCGCACGCCCAGCTCATCTTCGTCAGCGTGCACACGCCCTCTCTCCCCTCCCTCCCTCCCTCCCTCCCCCCTTCTCTCTCTCTCTCTCTCTCTCTCTCTCTCTCTCTCTCTCTCGATGACCTCCTCCCCGGCGGCCATGCCCACACCCCAACACGCCATGGATGACGAGGCTTCGGGCGGATCCTGGTGGCGGGCCATGGCAGATCCATTAGGGTTCTGGTGAGCTCTCTTTCTCATCTTCCACAAACTCCAGCGGGCTTAGAAAGGGAAGGTTTGGGGGAAGGAAGGCCAGCCAGGCGGTGGGGATGGCTGGAGGGTGGGCGGCGATGCAGGCAGCCGGCTAGGTCAGGGCAGGGGCGTTGCGACGGTGGAGCTAGGGGAGAAGGTCATGGCGGCGGTGAGAAAGGGGAGGGCGGGAAGGTTTGGGGGGAGGAAGGCCGGCCAGACGATGGTGAAAGGACCTAGGATGCCGCCTAGAGGGGGGTGAATAGGCGTTTCTAAAAATTAACACGTTTAAATGCAGAAACGATTACACAAGTTAGCCACAGAGTATACAAGGTATAAAGAATTTATCTAGAAGCTACACCCTGCAACACAAGGTTAGAACAGAGAATGAATAAATTCAGCACAGGCAGGAAATATCGGACGTGTCCGGTAGGTATACCGGACGTGTTCGGTATGCACGTGTTCGGCAGAAGACCCTAGCATAGTGGTCAATACCGGACGTGTCCGATAGCTATACCGGACGTGTCCGATATACACAGTTTCAGTGGAACAACCCCAAACTTGCTCCTTTTGATTTCTATCTTCAATCCAAACTGCAGGAATGTACTAGAGATGACAAGAAACACAGATAACCAGCACAATAGCTAGAGCAACACAAATATCAAATGAAATGCGAATTGAAACATGATATTTGTTTTACCGAAGTTTGGACTCGTTCGAGTCCTACTCTCCATTGAGGGGGCTACGGGCGATCCAGCAAAGGTCAGCCCTAGAGGGTACCACGAAGGTCACTCTAGCCGGAGTCTTTTCCAACTCATTTTCCTCCTTTCACTAGTTGATTCCGAGGCGGCGGAATCGACCGTTACAAACTTTCCGAGGCACACCATAATCTCTCGGGTGCTCTCCAACGACGCCTAGCCGTCTAGGACTAAAGAGTCCAAGAGTAACAAATACAAATCATGAGATTGACAATATGCACAACTGCTCAAGTGGTGGCTTGCTCTCTTTTTCAAATTCTCTCTTAACCCACAAATGGATTTGGGATTTGGATCACACACTCACTAAGAGAGGGTTTAGGAGAGTTGGCAAGTCTTAAAAACATGTATAGCAACCAACAGAATCAGCAGCCTCCAAAGGTGGAGGCTTGGGGGTATTTATAACCCCCTTTGAAAAACTAACCGTTTTATAGCCGTTGCCATTCCGGTATGCGGTATGACTTACACTGCGTCAACGGTAACTAAGTTACAGTGATGTTGTGAGGTGTTGGAACTCTCGATGAATGCCGAGACTTCTGACCATCAGAACTCCTGGCTCACGTCGAAACTCTCGACCCTCAGCATATTTGAAAACTAAGTAACTGAGTTGAAGTTTGTGAGGTGTCGGAACTCCCGACTCATGCCAAAACTCCCGACCGTCGGAACTCCCGAGTCATGTCGAAACTCCCAACCCTCAAGGCTTTTGAAAACTAGCCGTTGGCCTCTGATCGTCCATACTGCACATGTCCTGTATGAATACCGGACACGTCTGGTATGACCACCATAGTGAACTCTCCAAGTCAGTTAAAGCGCGAGACATCAGAACTCTCGACCATTGTTGGAACTCCCGACTGTCGGAACTCCCGACTTACATCGGAACTCCCGACGAACCAACCCGAGAACAACAATTTTATCGTGGCTTGGCACATACCGGACACGTCCGGTATCAATACCGGACATATTGCCAGACCAGCAAAACACAAGTTAGCTCTTTTGTCTCTCAAACACTCAAAACTCACATGGGTTGGCTTGAGCACTTATGAAACATTATCTATCAACATGATGCATCCCTCTTAATAGTACGGCATTCCTATTAACTCAAATTTAAAAGAATAACGACTTTAAACCTTTTGAGTTGATCTCTTTCAACCGAAGCCGTGTATTCCAATCTTCATCAAGTGAGGGTGCCAACATGTCAACTTTGATCTTTTTCACTTGAGCATAGCCATCTTGAGCACGTGACCTGATTCCATTCATCAAATTTGAATAATCCCAAATGTATCAAATCACTTCCATAAAACACTTAAATAGTGATTTGATCATCCACATAAACATGGCCATCATAGCTTGATTAGTACCTCAACTAAATGCAAGTACTTCCTTCTTCACCCTAGCTAGGTTCTTCTGTTGCCAAGCCGTTGCTTGCCCTTCACCCTTGCTTAGTACCTCGAAGCCTTTCCTTGCTATCTTCACCATCTCAAGCTATCAAGTCACATCTTGTGTTGAATCATCCATTCATATGTATTGTTATCTTTTTCATTTCAATTTAGCAAGCTTCAAATATGAGACCATTCCATATGCAATCCCTCATGTCTCATTAATTAATTCTTACGAGCTTGCTTTCACATAATACATGGAAATCCCACAATAAATAAGCCTTTGCATGAATTTCATTTGTATTGTTGTCTTGTGCTTGAACTAGATTGTTTATACAACAACACATCATTTTGACTTTCATTAAGTACTTATGAGATAACCTATTACCTGTCCACACTTAGCAAACGGGTTAGACCTTTAATCACGTTGTCATTCAATCATCCAAAACCCACTAAAGGGCTAGATGCACTTTCAATCTCCACCTTTTTGGTGATTGATGACAACTTGATTAAAGCTTACAAAAGAATATAAACATTTAAGCTTTTGGGTTCAATGATTTATGAGAGGCTCCCCCTTAATACATGCTTATGATTAGAATTCACAAAATGACCTCAAATGTCAATTGCACACATTAAAACATATAGGAGACTCCCCCTAAATCATTGCATCCATGGAGTGCATGTGTGTGTGACAAAGTAAAACTGTGATGCATATGACAAGATATATCACATAAGAATAAATATAAAGACATCACAACAAATATTTTTATTCTAGCATGCATAGTCC